AATACTGAATATGCAAGGCATTACTAAATAATATTAACTTTGGTTCTTTTTTTCAAATCCTTTGTCTATCATGAAGGTAAAGCATGTGACTTCTGTATGTATTTCTACCTTTGATAGTTATCAGGTCAAAGGCATGCCCTCAACTCTCCTGAACATTCCAAAACAGCAACACCCACTCTTTATAGTGCAGAAATCTTGACGCTCATAGGGAGTGTATGGGATAGCAATGGCCATGTGAAACCACTTACAAGCATTGCTGCATACATGGGCCACAAGTTGTACAGTGATGGCGGTAGGTTTGAGTTCTTCATAATGGAATTATTGGGATAGTACCTGAGGCAGCAAGTTATAGAGGCTGCACAAACCATCCAAATTTACAAATGGTGATATTTTTCCTTATTTTATTTCCCTCTTCTATCCACATTTGGACATTTGTGGCTAAATTAAGAGAAATATAGGGGGAAAGGGGTACATATGATGCACAGAGGAGTCTGAGAGTTCTTTAAAATTCAGAAGGCATAAAGCCTTCCTTTTTTATTTTGTTAAGTGGTCTGCTCAGTTAAAGCTGAAGCTTAGTGATTTTTTTCTTTAATCAGCACCAGGGACAGTATTTACCCCAGAGACCACAGCAGCTGGGACCTTCTGCTCATAATAACCCTCTCAGCATTAGGTGATTATAGCTGCAGGGGTATCTGGGGGGCAGAGGACTGAAGAAGCAGCCACCAGCACACAGGACACTCATTATTCATGTAAGTACTGTATCTGGTGCTGATTTAAAAAAATGAAATGTATCACTCAGTGATAGGCCGAACACTCCTGTGTTCAGTTTGCAGTCGAATGTTCAAAGCTATTGAATGTTCAACTGTGAACTTCAGACTCAATGGAAGTCTATGGGACTCGAACTGGTAAATTCCAAAGTGCCCATTTTGAAGGCTTATATGCAAGTTATTGGCCATAAAAGGGATATGGGGACTTGGGTACTGACCTGAGGGACATGAAAATGTCAAAAAGTACAGTTCTTAAAGCGGCAGTCATTTTTAATTTCTTAAAGTAAAAAAAACTATTTAAATATCATGCCTGGGGGGTCCCCTTAAACTACCTGCAAAGTTGCACATCTGTACAATGTATAGAACCTGCTACAGCAGGACTGATTTTTTTTTAAATTACATTTTTATTAATAAAAACACAGTTTGGGGTCCCCCCTAATCCTTACCACACCCTTTAAGTCTGGTAGGAAGGTTAGGAGGAACCCCGCAGTAAAAAAATGTGCGTGGGGTTTCCCCTAAAAGCCATACCAGGCCCTTTAGGACTTTTAAGGGGAACCTCACCCAACAAAATTGGGGTAAAAAAGTGTGGTGTCCCTCCTAAATTCCTACCAGACCCTTGATTCAAGCACAGGCCTGGCAGGACATGCAGGCAGGACAGCCCCCTGCGGCTTACCAGACCACATGCCCTCGACATAAGGACAGTGTCCCCATGCCAGCAGGGACAAGGGCCCCTTCCCCACAACCCTGGCCTTGTGGTTGCGGGGGTCTGTGGTCAGGTGCATTGCTTTGGCCAATCATGGCTCTCACAATGCACTGTGAGTGGGTGCGGCGGGCAAACAGCCTGCTGAATGCCCTTACCGTTCGTGTGTTTGCCCAGCTGATGTTCAAAGTCCAACATACATTCAATTTGGAATATCAAGCCCATCCCTAATATCACTAAACATAAGCTTTAAATTGCTTATAAAGCAGACCACATACTGCTTCCAGTAGTGCATTCTAGCAGTAGTTTAAGCTAAATAAATCAAATCAATATTTAGCTTCATCTAGGGTTGCAGGATGTCTACCTATAACCTCGGAGTCAGGCAAGGGATACAAATAGGAGACAATAGTTGATATTACTTGCCTAGGCTTATGTTAGAGCATCTGAAAATAAAATATATCATATTTATCTTGGATACATTTCAGCTTTAAGAGGTGATTGCTCCTAGTGGAGGGAATATGTAGAAATAATAGTGGTAGCATGAATGAACGATAGTGGAATCCACCAATGCCACGAACAGTGGATGAATTGAATTTTGGTTTTGGAAAATATACTGTCCAAAGGAGGGCACTTTTATCCTACGTGTAAGGAGCAGACTTTTATAACAGGTTGTTGTATGCTAGAAATATAATCTACAAATTAATTTGTATACTTTAACTCACATGATGTATCTTCAATTCCAGAGGCTGGTTGAAGCAGCAGAGGAGGCGCATTTGAAGCATGAATTTGATGCTGATCTACAGGTAAGTCGCTTTATGATTTTATTTCTGTTACGGAAAATTGTATCTTTATTTGAAGGGAAGGTTCCAGCAAAAAAAAAAACCTTGCAGTGGGATGGTGAGTTATAGCAGAATCTTTCCCATTAGAAACTCAAGTACTGGAAAAGGATTGAGTGCAATTGGTGATTACTTTGCTTTACCTTCACCCTTTTATTATTTTACAGTTACAGTGTTATATCAATATACATGTAACTACAGCCATGGGCCTTAAATGCAGAATTAGTTTTGCCTTTAAGGAAACATGTGCTTTACTCCTTCAGGTTTGCTGTAATTTCCTCATTCCTACCCAGCATACAGTTGCAAGAAAAAGTATGTGAACCCCTTGGGATTACATGGAGTTTTTGCATGAATTGGGCATAAAATGTGCTCTGAGCGTCATCTAAATCACAACAATAGAAGAACACAGTCTGCTGAACATAATACTACACAAACATTAGATGTTGCCATTTTTTAATTGCACATAACATGGAAACATTCACAGTGCAGGGAGGAAAAAGTATGTGAGGCCCTAGCTTAATGACTTCTCCCAGAGCTAATTGGAGCCAGGAGTGAGCCAACCTTGACTCCAATCAGTGTGATGATATTGGATGTGTTGCTGACAGCTGTCCTGCCCTTAAAAAACACACACCTGTTTTGGGTTTCCTGGTTTCAAGAAGCACTGTCTGATGTGAACCATGCCTTGCAGAAAAGAGCTCTCAGAAGACCTACGATGAAGAATTGTTGACTTGCATGAAGCTGGAAAGGGTTACAAAAGTATCTCCAAAAGCCTTGATGTTCATGTGCCCACGGTAAGACAGACTGTCTACAAATGGAGAAAGTTTAGCACTGTTGCTACTCTCCCTAGGCGTGATCGTCCTGTAAAAATGACTGCAAGAGCACACCGCAGAATGCTGCATGAGGTAAAGAAGAATCCCAGAGTGTCAGCTAAAGACCTACAGAAATCTCTGGCACATGCTAACATTTTTGTTGACACATCTACAATCAGGAAAACATTAAACAAGAATGGAGTACATGAAGCACACCACGGAGGAAGCCATTGCTGCCCAAAAAGAAGATTGCAGCACGTTTGAAGTTTGCAAAAGAGCACCTGGATGTTCCACAGCACTACTGGCAAAATATACTGTGGACAGATGAAACCAAGATTGAGTTGTTTGGGAAGAACACACAACACTATGTGTGGAGAAAAAAAGGCACAGCACACCAACATCAAAACCTCATCCCCACTGTGAAACATGGCGGAGGGAGCATCATGGTTTGGGGCTGCTTTGCTGCCTCAGGGCCTGGACGGATTGTTGTCATTGATGGGAAAATGAATTCCAGAGTTTATCAAGACATTTTGCAGGAAAACGTTACGACCATCTGTCCGCCAACTGAAGCTCCGCAGAGGATGAGTGATGCAACAGGACAATGACCCAAAGCATACAAGTCATTCAACAAAACAATGGCTGCAACAGCACAGAATACGCCTTCTGGAGTGGCCCAGTCAGAGTCCTGACCTCAACCCGATTGAAATGCTGTGGCATGACCTTAAGAGAGTGATTCACACCAGACATCCCAAGAATATTGCTACACTGAAACAGTTTTGTGAAGAGGAGTGGTCCAAAATGACTCCAGATCGTTGTGCAGGTCTGATCTGCAACTACAGGAAACGTTTGGTTTTGAGGTTATTGCTGCCAAAAGGAGGTCAACCAGTTATTAAGTCCAAAGGTTCACATACTTTTTCCTCCCTGCACTGTGAATGTTTACATGTTATGTGCAATTAAACCATGGCAACATCTAATGTTTGTGTAGTATTATGTTCAGCAGACTGTGTTCTTCTATTGTTGTGACTTAGATGACGTTCAGAGCACATTTTATGCTCAATTCATGGAAAAAACTCCACGTAATCCCAAGGGGTTCACATACTTTTTCTTGCAACTGTATAATTACCTTTTCTTTACTCCTCTACCCTTCTCTTCAGTGCCAGAAGTTGAATGAGATATCCAGGTAGGGAGGAACATGTGACTCACTCCATGTGACAGCATTGGGTCAATCAGCACTGTTAGGCTGGTCGAATTTCAGACAAAATCTGCTGAACCTCCTAAATTTTAACTCATCCCACTCAACAGAAGTTGATCTAATGGCTGACTTGTCTCAAACAATTCTATTGGAAAAATTTCACTCAATCAGCACCTGCAGGCAATAAGATGCAGTAGTGATTAGTGCATTCTGACAGTGGAGGAGCCCCACTGTGAGAACACAATAGCACAGCGGGAAGGATTCTTCAATCCCCCTTACTTATGTGGATTGGGGGATCCATTTAAATTTTGTTTAATCATCCCAATGGCTGATTGAAAAAAAAAAATCCATGTTTGGTCAGCATACACAGTGAATCCATAGCCCTATGTAAGATACAACCCTGGGTGAATAATTTGCTTCTGGTGGCTGCCTTAGTGTTTAGTATGGGCACTTTCTTTGAACAGGTAGATGGCCATTAGCGGGGCCAGAAATTGCCAAGCCCCCTTATAATAAAATCAATCTGAGAGGGACACAGAAAAGGCTATTCTGGTGAATAAAATAACTAAAAGACATGTTGTGGTGTCTGCATTTAGGCAGGATTTTAGCTTTAAGAGTTAAGAGCTTGTAGGTGGCAAAGCAAAATAAGGTAAACAAAGAAAAGTTAAGACTAGGGGTAGGTTTAGCCTGTACTCTTAAACCTTGGTGCCCTAGGCATATGAAAAAATGTTAAACATGGCCATGGTATTGACTGAGGCTGAATGCACAATGCACGTGGTACCGTGATAGGTCGCCACCTATGCAATAAGTCCATCTGTGAAATTTCCATGCTAATAAATATTCCACGGTCAACTGTTAGTGGTACTATAACAAAGTGGAAGCAACTGGGAACAACAGCAACTCAGCCACGAAGTGTTAGGCCACATAAAATGACAGAGCAGGGTCAGCGCATGCTGAAGTGCACAGTGTGCAGAGGTCGCCAACTTCATGTGGCATTTAGATTAGCACAACAACAGTGCCTAGAGAGCTTCATGGAATGAAAAAAAAGTGCATTGCAAAGTGTTGAATGCAGTGGTGTAAAGCACACTGCCACTGAACTCTAGAGCAGTGGAGATGCGTTCTCTGGAGTGACTAATCATGCTTCTCTGTCTGGCAATCTGATGGATGTGTCTGGGTTTGGCAGTTGCCATGAGAATGGTACTTGCCTGACTGCATTGTGCCAAGTCCAAAGTTTGGTGGAGGGGGGATTATGGTGTGGGGTTGTTTTTCAGGGGTTGGGCGTGGCCTTAATTGCAGTGAAGGGAATGCTTAAGGCGTCAGCATACAAAGACATTTCGGACAATCTCATGCTCCCAACTTTATGGGAACAGTTTGGGGATGGCCCTTTCCTGTTCCAACATGACTGCGCACCAGTGCACAAAGCAAGGTCCATAAAGACATAGATGAGCAAGTTTGGGGTGGAGAAACTTGACTGTCCTGCACAGAGTCCTGACCTCAACCCAATAGAACACCTTTGGGATGAATTAGAATGGTGACTGCGAGCCAGGCCTTCTCGTCCAACATCAGTGCCTGACCTCACAAATGCACTTCTGGAAGGCAAATCAAACATTCCCATAGACACACTCCTAATTCTTGTGGACAGTCTTTCCAGAAGAGTTGAAGCTGTTATAGCTGCAAAGTGTCGGTCAACTCAATATTGAGCCCTACGAACTAAGACCGGGATGCCATTAAAGTTCATGTGCATGTAAAGACAGTACAATTATGTTTTTTTTTGTTGTTGTTTGGTTTACAATTGGAGCCCAAATTCTATTTTTTTCTTCTTAATTTGCATTGCAGCATGTTTCTCTGCATTTAAATGCAGCATATTCCCTTTTTCACCCAGCAAAAACCAACACAATACATTGTACTGGGCCTATTGGAACCAATAGATTTCAGCTTACCATTTCTTTGGGCCTGCATTGAGCATTGCAGTCAAACACACGTGGTGTGAATGGACTTTGACTGGTGAGGTTGCCAGCAAGGTAATATAGTTCTTCTCTGTAACTGTGCTGGTTGATCGGCAAATCAGGAAGAGGAGACTGACGGGTTGTATGTACTATTTTGAACAATAAAGTTTATTGAACACTGACATGGCCTGATTGATATTGTGACAAGGTAATGAAGTTAGGGTATGCCCACTGTCATAAGCCGTAAGATAACGGATTGACAGTCATTTTTCCTCGTATGTGTTCTGGCTGTTGTAAAGTGACAGGTTGAACTTGGCTAAGTGGTAGCTCTTTGTCTTGGCTCTTGGTGATCTGTATGAGAGCTGCATGCCACTTTTCCCCCCAAGCTGTTAGCATTTAATTTTTCTCTATCACACAGAGTTAATTCACTCTGAGCTCATTTTCTTCCTTTTGTTTTTTTGCAGTTTAAAAATTCTCTAACGCTCTGCCCGAGGGCTCTTTTTCCTGATGAACTTGTAGCAAACTATTATTATAAGTCAGTGTTTATCTTCAGACAGTTCACATGCACTTTGCTTAAACACTTATCCCTTTCTCCCTTCGACCTAGTCGAATTTTGTGCCATTTACATATATTTATTATCAGTCATTTCTGCAGGAGACTGTTTCCTAATCTTTACAGCTAACTAAATGACAATTTTACAAGAATAGGAAACAGAAACTATTAGTCGAATGTGTGAACATGTTTTGAATATTTTACAGATTGAGAAAAGCTTTGTAAATTGTAATTATTTTTGAGCTTGACATACACAATTTAGTCCTTGGCTTCTGTTTTCTGTTGGATTGCATGCTGTGTAATGTCGAGTCTCCATTTACAGAAAATGCAACTGGATTTTGAAGGGTGTCCCTGGCTAGGACTGAAGCCCCTTTTCATGTGATTTTGTGCTGGCCAGCATATCCTCTATGCTCTAATGTGAGTGCAGAGGGTTGCAGTGAACACACAGAGACGGCTAAACCCCTGGGACTCTTTCCAAAGGCTCATATTCACAACCATTTCAAAGAAAAGGACACAAAAAACTACAGGGATTTAATTAGCCAAATGTGGGCTACCTGGTACAGGTGTCCGTTTATGAACCAGCAGTGATAGATCGCTGCTCAGTTCTCCGGCATTCTCGAAGAACACAGTTTTCCTGTGAATGACTTTTATGAAGCGGTGTAGAACTAATGAAGGGAGAACGATCTACAAGCGCTGGAAAATGCTCTACAAACACTAGAAAATGGCTGATTTTATAATTTCGTGAGATTACAGTAAAAGATCAGTTTACTAAGCAGAGGTAAATTATCGCTGCTTCGTTTGAGGTTCCTCCGATTCTCCAGCTCTGGGCTGGAGAATCTGGAGGGAGAACACAGATCTCCAGTGAAGGGAATGAAACTGAACAGTTCTCCGCTGATCTCCTGAGTGTCATAAACTGTGAATGACCAGAGAATAGCTGCGATCCACGGAATCGCAGCTATTCTCTATGTCATAAACGGACGCCACAGTGTATGTGTCTTTTTCTCCTTGGTATAATGGAGAAAAGGGTCTAATTGTCTATAAGGAAATAGGTTCATCATTGGTTCCTACTGGGAAAGGTACAGTCAGGTTCATAAATATTGGGACATCGACACAATTCTAACATTTTTGGCTCTATACACCACCACAATGGATTTGAAATGAAACAAACAAGACGTGCTTTAACTGCAGACTGTCAGCTTTAATTTGAGGGTATTTACATCCAAATCGGGTGAACGGTGTAGGAATTACAACAGTTTGCATATGTGCCTCCCACTTGTTAAGGGACCAAAAGTAATGGGACAGAATAATAATGATAAATCAAACTTTCACTTTTTAATACTTGGTTGCAAATCCTTTGCAGTCAATTACAGCCTGAAGTCTGGACGCATAGACATCACCAGACGCTGGGTTTTCATCCCTGGTGATGCTCTGGTGATTTCAAATCCATTGTGGTGGTGTATAGAGCCAAAAATGTTAGAATTGTGTCGATGTCCCAATATTTATGGACCTGACTGTATGTGCTTGTGCTGATCCAGTAGAAAGTAAACTTGGCTTCAGCTGTTGGACATGGATCTGAAGATTGTAGTTGGTAGTAGGGTTCCAAACTTATATAGTAAAATTACCCTTTTGTGCCAAATGTTTTATTTTTTACAATGTTCTTGTTCAATTAAATTCTTTTAAAGCACATCTAAACCTAAAGCCAAAATTTCTATATATTGCAGCTTATTAGCTCTTAGGTGTGTTGGCTGCTTTTTCTTTTTCCTTTAGGCACTTTTTCCCTTTATTTTCACCTAGTGATCCTGCCAGTAATGCAATCCATGACCCAGGGTAACAACCCTTACATGCTGTACTGTTCAAAGAAGATAGCCAGGATAATTGATAACACTAAGCATTTAGTTTAGTAGCCAGGAAGTTACAAGGACATTATATTTCCATTAGGATCGATAGATATCACTCTGTATGAGCAGGAAAAAAAGGAAATTAATGTGCCCACCACATCTGGTAAGCTGCAGTATATTACAATTTTGCTTGTATATAATATACTGTATATTTGTTTGCAGCCTACTGCAATATCCTCTATTGTTTTCAGAGCCTCCTTAAAAATCAGTGCTCTTGTTTTTCCACTTGTCTGACCTATTTGTTAGTTTGTAGTGGGAATTGTTCTGTTCCCCGGAGCGCCATAAGCTGCAATATCTTTGCATAGCCTTTTGTTGTTTATTGTTACTACGGTCCATTAACACTGATCAATTGGTAATCTTCATCTCAGCGACCCCTCTGCAACCTTGTGTGAGATTGTTGTTCTTCATCAAAAATCTCATAGAGCCCTTGGCTTCAAGTAAAGTAATGACAGCGATGATTTGGTACTATAGTCCCATTCAGGATGGATCAATGTTGCCATCTGTAAGGAATTGGTAAAGGTCTGTGAACATTTCTCAGTTGTACATGTTAAACAATAGCTTTTATAGTTGTAAAATCCAGCTGAGATTAGTTGATCCTTGTAACCGTTATCAGAAGCTGCAGTAAAATAAATGCTGTTTCATAAAAATATAAATGAAACAAAAAGGTGTATAGTCTGTAAGACATCTTCCAAATATAATTTTTTTAACAATCCATGATAATAATAAATTTCCTAGCCGAATAAAAGAAAAACAGGCAAATGTGAAATCCAACTTTTAAATGATTTAGGTTGGTTTTTAATGTAATATTTTTATAAACGTATACTGTAAGTCTTATGTATAACTTCTGTTATAAACTTATAAATATTAAGTGTAACTACCTTCTACAATCCTTCTTAAAGCAAACTTGTCATTGAAAAACAAACAAACAAAAAGCTCTTGTAAAGGAATAGAGTGTTTCAAATTATTACAGTACTATTACTATTAGAAGTGTAAAGTAAAAATGGCAAATTCCATTGATTTCTACCGAAAAGGGTTAAGTTAATAAAACTGGAGAGTGCAAAATCTGGTGTAGTTGTGAAAAGAAACCAATCAGCTTCCAGAGTTTATTGTCAAAGCTTAATTGAACAAGCAGAAGTTAGAAGCTGATTGGCTATCATGCACAGCTGCACCAGATTTTGCACTCTCCAGCTTTAGTAAATCTACCCCAAAGTGTCTGATTGTTTTTTGGTTCATATACTTTCTTATATTTTTCATTACTAAGAAACAATTTAACAGGGGACCTACTATAATAAGAATACTTGAGCTGGTACAACAAGCTTGGTTTTTAAGATGGAAGCATCAGAGCCATCATCTTTATTCTACCTTCACAACTTAAAGTGGAACTAAACCTAAACCAAACCTAAAGGTAAAAATATTTACTTTAGTTTCATTGGTCTAGTGCCCACAAAGTGCCCTAATAATGCCAACAGATTCCCCCTGCCTTTTTAGGTCTGCCAGTCTTCAGCAGTCTTGGTTTGTCGGAGTGGTGTTATGGTATTACAGTTTTTTCTTCTTTAGGTTATTAGAGCTAGGTGCCTTCTATTGTTCTCCTGTTGGCACACGGGGGGATGATATCACTCCTGCACACAGGCAGAGTGTGAGAATGTAACTCCATGTATATTCTATAGGGGACTGCAAACTCTTCTGCAAAAAAGTCCCTGTCTGTTCACAATTTTTTAATAGTTAACTTTAGTTACACTATATTGGAACACTCACCCTAAATGAAATTAAGTCATTCCTACAGGAAAGGGTCATCAGTAGGTTTAAGCAAGGAGGGGACAAACGCTTGGAAAACCAGT